TAGGTTAGGTTAGGTCTTTATATTTTTATATATTTTTAGGTTAGGTTCGGGTTAGCGATTTAACACACAATAATAAGATGTCGATTGAATGTTTCTGAAGAGAGTTCTAAATAGTCTGCGAATTTTTATGCATTTATAAGAAATCTGAATGCACGAGAAACTATAAAATACACACAACATGCCATAATAGAAAATATATTGAAAGTGAAGTTCATATTATAATATTTGCAAAGTGAAATATATTTTTAGTTCAAATCTGGACTAGGCCTTTCATTTTTAGGTTAGGTCTGTGCTAGCGGTTTGACACACAATAATAAAAAATAGCGTTCGAATGTTTCCAAGGAGAATTATAAACAGCTTGCGGATTTATATGCATTTACACGAAATGTGAAACTACAAAATGCACGCAATATGCCATAATAGAAAATATATTGAAAGTGAATTTCACGTTATAATATTTGCAACATGAAATATATTTTGAGGTCAGGTCTTACTTATTTTTATCTAGATTCGCAAAGATTTAATTCTGCACAAAAATCCTCTGGGTCTGATAAATTTTTCCCAAACTCGTTAATGAAAATTTATCCGAACAGTATAATATAATTACGTTTCGCGTGGTATCTGCTTCGACGGAGATTTCCTAACTGTTTCGAGCTGCGTACCGATCGATAGGAAATTATACAGGACGTACGCGCGTCCTATTATATGTTATTAGCTACCGGAGTTTTTAATAATTTTCAATGGTTCCGAGTCACTCGATACCGCCCTTCGTGAAAACGATATAAATGGGCATGCACGCTCGGTTTACCGTGGCGCAACCGTTATTTGATACGGTACTGCCTTGCGTTACAGGCATTCCGCGCCAGGTAAATCGTACACGTGTACTTGTACACGTGCCGGGGCAAAGTTTCGTTCGTTAATTACGTAAGGACCATTTTGGCCATTTTCGCATCGGAATTAATTTATTTAGTTCCTTACTGAAAATACCCTGTCACCCCCTTCGCGCTGATGTTTCCCCTTAATTGGAAATGAAACACTTTTTTAATTAATTAAATAATTAATTTTAATGTTTACATTCGTTGAATCAATTTGAAAAAAATGTCAGCCCACAGGAGTCGACGAGAAGAAACTTTTTTATATTTACAGATTATTCGTGCAACGCTTAGTTTCGGAAATAAAAATGGCAAAAGTTCGAAATTCGTTGTAGAAATTGAATTTCAGAAGAAAGGTCTTCCGAGTTTCCAATTTTTATTTTTGAAACGAAACGTCGTATGCATGAACTGTAAATAGAAAAAAGTTCCGTCTTATCGTTCCCTGTAAGCTGATATTTTTTTAAAAATTCACAACTCTATGCCCCTTGAAATTTTTAGCAAAAATCGCCCCGATCGTCCAAGGGTCGACCGAAAACGTGTCGTTTGATTCCTTGCCCACGTGAAACATTTCCGCGTTCGATTGAAAAAGGCGTCTTCGATAGCGTTCGTTTAACGAGTCGAAGCGAATCGCTAACAACGAAAAATGGAAACGAGTGGGTCGACTTTGACCCATTCCAAGTATCACGAATCGTCGATGTACGAGGCGTCGATGAATGCGCCGCGTGTCACCAGGCAACAGAGGCGATAAAACAGCTATCCGAACTCCATTTCCGCAAGCATGCGCCCGATAGGAAAACACCGAAGGATAAATAACTCGATCCAAGGTAAGTTCTCAGCGGTGTCTAAATATAAATTCGTAACAAATCGATAGCGTCGGCACGCGATCGCGGTATGTTTCAATGGACATTTATTTAGCGGATACGCGACCGTCTCACGAACGTGCGAACGCACGTTGACGGAACGTGATACCGTGCCCTTCTCGCAACCTCCGTCGGTAAATCCTCTGAAATTCGTTTCAGGAAATCGTCGCGCGACGAGTGCGCGAGATCCAAGTTCAAACCGCGGAGAACAACTTCGAGAATCGCAGCAAGAGGTTCTCGAGCGTTACGTTGACTTTTTAATTAGCGTTTGCATTGTGATAAATTGTGATGCTTATATATAAGGGGTAGACGGTTCGTAGTTTACAAGATACGCGATATTGATAGATAATGAATGACCATTTTTTGCCTGGAGAAATATAATCGTTACTAGCAGAAGCAAATTGGTCAGTAAAGCGTTGGTCTGTTAAATAAGTTATATGTAACGCATCTATATTTAAAATAAATTTGAATTGGAAGAGCGAACAAAAATATCCACGACAGAAAGAAAAGTTTAGACACTTTACCGACCGCTATTTTACCGAGCCGATTGATCGGCTTTTTGTCCCCAACGTTTACCGACCGGGAACTGTTTAATCGGTAGTTATGGTAACTACCAAGTATTTGTTACTTTGAATCGAGATACTAGTCGCGTTGTAAGCTCCCATATTTTTATACAAGTCCCGTTAACAGAAATGATCGGCCGAGTGAACTGGAACCACTACCGGTCGGTAAAGTGTTAACCCTTTGCACTCGAGGCCTTTTTTTCTGGTATCTCTACTGATAATTCTAAGCTATCTAGATTTGAGAATAAGGTCACCTTTACCTCGCTTAAAAACATTTTATTGACACTTCGAGCTCCAAAGAAATGAAACTTAAACAAACGTTAGGTATTGTAGATTTGCTGCGTGAAACCTAATGGTAACTGAGAGTCACACCTCGAGTGCAAAGGGTCAAACAGGCTACTACTGCCTACATATCTTCAAATAAATAATAGTCATTCTTTTTCTATCGTATACCTTATAAGCTACGAACCGTCTTCCCCCAAATCTATAAATCATACTAGCTCTAATTTCGCGTCATCTATCACTGTGCATAAATTAATTAAAAAGTCAACGTAACGCTCGAGGACCTTTTCTTCTCACACCGCTTTGTACACTGAAGCCACTCAGCGTAGGAAATCCGAGGACTCGAGCCGCTCGCCACATTGCGTGCTTTTCACTCCCGTATTTTTTTCTCGTCCGTTTGTGGTTTGCGCGGGTACTCATTGGACATCGATCCCCGGCCAACGTGTGCGTACTTTCTCATCCGCATTCTTCTCCGAACGGTTGATCCCGGAGAAAGAAGCGGTGCATATAATTGGGCGCAGTTCGCCGCGTCGAGTGTCGGAGGACGCGACGGAAACGAAACCCGACGCCGCGGATAATGCAACTGTTACGAGGGCAAAAACCCGTTATTGGACGCCCCGAAATCGGCCTGTTCTCCGTTGAACACAATTTTCGTGGAGGACTGGACAGATTCACTGCTGGACTAATCGTGAAAATTCCTACGAGGCTAACTGTACGGGCTAATCGACTGTCGCGCGATTTGTGGTGCGATTTGTCGCGCGACAAAATCGATCGTAGCTGAGCCGCGGCAAGAGTGGGGCCATTGT